CGGATTGGCTGAATGCAGGAAGGAAACAGATTGAACCATATGGTTGTCGATTGAACATTGGAGAATCGATCGATAATTGTCTGATGCTTATGATATTTATTTGCATGATTTTCCGGATAGGATTAACTGCATCCACAGCTCGTCTTGATTCTGACTTTGAGCTGTTCAGTGGGCTTTCGGTCCGACTTCGAGCTCGCGCTAGTCGATACTAATTCCTATTCCGAATACATCAAACAAACACGGCCCACGCATAAAGCCTACATGTGCGCAAAAACGGAGGATTTCATCTAAAGTGATTACTGACAAGTAGTTTTTGGATGCGGTTAGCTGAAGATCGTGTTTTTCACACCACACACTGTGCATACGGAACCTACCTATTCCTCGAAACTTTATAGCCTGAAAGTATGCGGATAATGTAGCGATTGGCTGCCTATCCTCTGGTGGAAGCAGTTTTCATCCCATCCTCGAGACAGGTTAACTGAACGCTAGATTAGTTTCATGTTCCGTTTCTTTGAAATTAACATGAACAAGTATTTTGATATTCGCTTCAGCCTTCAGACTCCGGTGGTGCGAGAATTTTCGCTGCACCAGTTTATTCCTTTTTTATACGTGTAACTATACCGGTAAATCAGAAGTTGCCAGATTATCAAACAACTCAAACAATTGAGAATTCAACCTTCAGACATATCAAGCGCCCCTTGTTTTGACTTGAAAGTTGTGCATACAAGGTATTCATTCACAAACACGTAAATTTACGGGACACTCGTTAATACGTATTCTATGTTTTCATAGACTTAAAAGTTTTGAGATTTAACTTTTCGTTTTCCTCCCTCTCTCCAACTGAGAAAATTTGAAATGCAAGTTATACGCCTTCAGAGGTTACAGTCGCAATTACAAACACGCCTTACTTAACGCACACTGGATGAATTGGACGAAGGTCAACAATCCGTTTATCCTCTTTGCGTTTTGAATACTTCGTCCACCTTTTATCCGTAGAAATGGATAGCTACGAGCTGTAGGCGTTGGTTATGTTTCCCGCTAACATGGCTGAATTTGCCCTCCAAGTTGAGACTGGATATGAGCCGCTTCTCTTGACTTTACATCATGTTCACATTCCGGCCGGTAGGCAGCAATTGTACAAATTCGACCTTGAAATTCTGCTTCTCGAATACAGTCAATAAATACAAACCAAATGCTTTCTGGGCCAGCAACTAACACACCTCGTGCGAGGCATAACACGGTACTATACCCCGCAAAATGACCAATTATCCGGAACAACAAGTTCTGTAGACGCAGTAATTTCCGTAGGTTCTGTATTTGGTCAACCCTTGTAGGTATTCTCTCATATGGCTGCAGAGAAAATTTTCCGGATTATTTCTCCCCCTGGAGGTCTCAGGACAAACTCTCCTGTTGATCCTGGCTGACATTGGGCAGGGGCCACGGGCAGATTAGCCGAGTGCTGATAAATTTTTCATGGTCAATTATATCTTCTTTCTTCGCTCATTACATCACGCTATTGGTTACAATATTAGAGGAGAATCTTTATTTGGCTGTTGGCGACTTTAACCATGCAAGCATTTCCCCTTTGCTTTCTTTTGGCTTATCCGATTTGTCTCATGCTGCTCCCAGAGGCAGCCCTATACTTGACAGAGTAATCACAAACCAACCCACTTTGTTTTCTCTCAAACTAATGGCCTCAATCGCTACCAGTGATCATTGTGTTCTCCTCATAAGACCAAAGATATATACTCGCTTTGCATATCCAAAATTCATACGATCAAACCAGATAAGGTTTCATCTCCGTAACTTTTCATCAAACCGCATTTCTCTTCTCTGTCGTTTCATAACGGTTGCCCAATCTTGATTTACTTCTTGTTCATCACTTCTTAACTGTGTCAGTCTGTTCACCGAAAAGGTGAAATGGATCTTCCATTTTTGCCGTCCCATGGAAACGTTATTTGTTTGCAAAGGAAAAATTGCATCTCCGCTTATGAACTCATTACGGAGGCAAAAGGAACGATCCTATAAATAAACGCGTGTAAACAAGGCGTTCGCTTCCGAAATCCCACAAACGAAGAACACAAGGTTTCTATGGCAATGAATTGGATTAATCCGCGTACAAAAAAATGGAAAAAAGTGAACATTTGTGTTGATGTAAATAGCCTTAACCCGACATTTCTTCACCCGTCTAATGATAGTCAGATACGCTCCTTCCCATGTGACGTTAATAATTCCAATCTGTCCCCTTTATCCAATAACGAAATCTTTAAGCTTCTACGTTCCTTCAAACCATCGTCACCTGAGGGGCCCTGATGATGTTTCTCAAGTTCTAACTAGCACGATAACAACTCATCAACTAGTCTCATCATTCATAGATGTGCCCCGATTACTGGGGACCAGTGAACACAACACCTGTTCCAAAGATCCCATCCTCAAGCGTTCTTGCAAAACGTTTTCGCCTCATTTCATTGACGTCTGTGGTTCTAAAGTTAACTGAGAAAGCCATCCTGGGCCGCTTACAGTCACTTGTCACCATTCCCCATGACCCCCTTCGGTTCGCTTATAAACCCAACAGATCTCTTTGGATGCTGCGTGTAGACTGATTCATTTTATAAGCAAGCCTTGGTCAGCTCTGCCAGATCTGTTCGTCGCGTTTTTCTTGATTTATTCGTCTGCTTTTGATTGCGTACCTGTAGTGAGGACAAAGGACAGCGAAAGGTGCTAGTTTGGTTGTATGAACTAAGACGGACTCCGAGGATACCCAATCAGTTCGACCTTCCTTTGTGATCGGAATGACAAGACAAGCTCATCTTATTCGATCTCTCTTTTGGATAAACCCTTTCGGCGGGACTTTGTGAATTGATTGCGTGCTGTACAGAAGGGTTACTGATCTCGAGGACCTACTGTGCACTCAGTGGGTCTGGGAAGGCGAATAGCAGGAGCCTAATGTGGTGGGTTTCTTGGTTTGTAACCGGTCATCCTTCTTTGGGCACTCTTCACGAAATGCTCGTATACGACCAAATGTCTGAAACAGCGCAGTTGAAGAAGCCCTCATCATTACCTTCGCCTGGCGGTTCCTCCTACTAAAAGGCGAGGGTGAAATATCCGGCACTATATGACCAAATTCCTGATTCCAAGCTAAGCTGAGTGCGAACACACCTAGCTCTGGCAATGATCGCCGGCTTAACTGAGCATCTTAGACGATTCATCCAGTCTGAATAGGCGTAAGATTTGATTTCCGGCTCCAGTTGGATAGTCTAATCTTGGATAGCCGAAATCTTCGGCTGTTACGTGCTTTGTACTGACAATATTCCGGCCACTAGAAATTTAGTCACGCCGCAGTAGGCGAGTCGGATAAAAAGATATCAGAATACTGTCAAATCTCAATGTTGAAAAAAGATTTCCTGCAAATGTTGATGCCGTAAAAGGTTTTAAATGCAAAAACGACTTATCGTTTGTGCTACTGCCAAGATTTTCCTCCTAGAAGTATCGCATGCTATACAGGGACACTGAAGCTGTACGAGATGTGTCAAATAGTTTGACAATACAGGCACGTTGGTTAAGCCTCCAATCAGCGTCTTGCAGCATGCAACCCTCCACAACTTTTTTTCTTAACCATGCTTTGCAGCATCAACATTTGTAGTAAGCACTTTTTTCCAACATCCGTTGATTTGAGAGTATTCCGATACTTTTAAAATCTGACTCGACTACTGCGGCGTGAATAAATTTCGTGGGTCGAGACTAAAGGGCTACGGTTTTTGGCTAAAGGAATGTAGGTTAAGGGACTGTGATTTTGATCAAAGCTTGATGGGAAAGGTGTAGATTATATGGTGAATTTCATCATGTACAGGGCAAATGACGCGCGCACCGAAAAACCGAAAGCATTGGACAGCTATTTCGACTTGGTAGAGTCCCACCATCCGTGTGAATCTATCGCCTCAATCACCGATCAAACTGCGCGCCCACCTCCACCCGATTGATCATACCGCGATACAGCACACAGCCTTGGTAACAAAGCAAATATTCCGAACGGAACCATTTGTTACGTCTGTTCACTGATTCCGAGATTGAGATTCCATGCTCCATTTATTCTTAGCACAACTGAATTCATTTTATGATTTCAAGCGTTGGCGCAGTCTATGAAACACTCACGCCATCCTTTTCGATTTATAATCGCAGAAATTCAACTGTGGTTCTTATTTATAGAGGTGATGATCCCCGTATATTACAATTCGACGGTTTCCGAGGTTCGTGAGGAACAATTAATGAACCCATCAACACTTTTTTCATGACGAGAACAACTTACTTATCTGATATTGTCCTTCCGGTTTGCTGCAAACGACATCTAAATACATAAACCTAGAAACTTTACCAAGACTGTTTACATTACACCGTTACTGGACCGTAAAATATTCAGATAGGCTTTCCAGTTTGCATTGTAGAAAAAACGTTCTGATCGCTTTACAACAGACTTCCATGGGATGCTGAGTGTTGCGCAACCGGAAGAGGTACATATCTAATCCAATTTCTATTTCGATCATCGTTTTTTCGAATGCCCACAAACAAGATGGGGCAGAAATAGTAAACGAAGGCGCCAACACCCAGACGAACGACTGACGACGTGTAACCGACACATCGACGAGAAGACAGAAAAATGTTGATAGCTGGCGAGTCCATAATTGCGAATGGGGTTCAGCTGTTAGAAAAAATGGGAGGGGACTTGTAAAGTAAGGGGGAGTAAGAGGACTGAATACAGTGGGCAGCACGAAAATCTGGGTAAAAATGTTGGAAAATGTGTACAAGAAACCTCCCTTCGGTGTGCATGACTACCGCGGAGATACGGATGGGAGGTGAAATGAGTAACGACGAGATACAAGGATGGTGGAAAATGCAGCGCACGTTTGTCCGGTCCGGTCTGAAGGAACACGGACGTGCGTAGATGTGTGTAAGATGAAAGTCGCACATGGTGGGGAGGGGGCCTCGCACATTTGTCAGCGTCATTACAATTGAAGCTTCTTGCACTGCTCCCATGGGAATTCTGGACGACCGAAATGACCGTAGACTGCAGTTTGCAAGTAACGAGGGTATCGCAAATCCAGTTCGCTGAAAGAAACAAAAGTAGTCAGTGAACGAAAAACGGATGAATTTGTAGCACACCGCGGAATATGGCGGTTTGGAAAAGAACGTGGATAAAGACGTTCAGCAGCAGAATGACAACACAGATAAGCAATTGCAGAGCAACTAAGGTTACTATGATAAAAATCAACAGTACCCACACGATAGAAAATAATGCTCTGCCCAAAAATAAGTATTCGAGAGGTAATTTTTAATTGGTATTGAGTGTTACAATGAAATACGACCGGGTGAAAACAATGCCCGTTTAGCCAAGCCTTACGTTAAGTTAACCGGTGCGCAATATTTGTTTCTGCTCCAGATTTCGGGGGTAAAGACAACCAGTTCATCGAATCACAGTTCAAATGAGAACTCCGCCATTATTGATGTTACCGATGACAATCGTTGAATGATTGTAATCTCTCGCTTGGCAAATGACTGCACCTTCGGAGCCGGCACATATGTGACGAAAAAATGCGGTCTGGGCTTGTGGGTGAAGGGTTAACCATGAAAGAAATCGTAAACGATCAAACACTTACTTGACGATCACTCCGGGACGAAGATCAAAGTTCCGCTTTACCACATCCAACAATTCGTGGTCGCTCACCTTGCCCGTACCGTAACTATCCACGTAGATGGCCAATGGTTCGGATATGCCAATTGCGTACGAGAGCTATTTTATAAAAAAGCACAGTTGCGAACCTTTCATGAAAAACCGTAACAATACGAGCAAAAATGAGCTCCAAGTTGAAATCTCTTACTTCACTTCACAATTCTATGAAGTTGATCCGTTTCAAAAACAAAACCACTCTAATACGAATCACGGTCAAAGAACGTCAATAATGATGTAACGAAATCATGCATTCCGAAGAGTAAACTGTCGAGTTTTCAAGTTAGCCTGGTTATATTTTTCAATTACATAAATATATACTGTTACGATAAGCCCCTGGATAGGGTTTGTTAACTTTGAATATTTAACAGGAGAAAATGTCGAGAATTTCGAGGTGCAACACTTGGGAATACCCACTGAGTGGTCATCGGCTTGTTTACTGCACCCAAGAGAAATAACAAATGGCTGTGTGATGGAAGGATGAATAAGGAAGCGATAGCTCGTAGGACAGATCCTAACAACCAGTCACGTATTCCGAGTACCCAGTTCCAGGTGCCGCACGAATAAGTAATGACCTTTTCATCCCTGGAACATGACAACTTGGGAAAACTCATTTCCCGTTCCACTTTAAAACTTAGAATATCAAGAAAATGGTTCTAGCGTCAATGAGCTTCTCACCATACATTGTAACTCGTAACCTGTTTTCGGCTGTGAAGTAAAAAGACGACGAAGTGCATCAAGTTTAATCTGTTTTGTTGGTGCTGCAGGAGTCTTCCCGCTGACCGTACTCCGAAAATGCCAGTCTTTCCGCCAGTGAGCGAAGTCCATTTTGTTTTTAAAAATTCTTCAAAAAACTACGTATTCTATGTACTAGCGGCATTTGTGTAGTGGTTTCATCATGTTGAGAGAAGAGCCACTTCTGGGAAACCTAGCCATATATTTTCGCACATGCCTGAGTCCAGACTGTGCCAAACAAACCACGGTACAATGATCTTTATAAAAAGAAAAGATCTCTAATTTGATTTGGGGAAGCTAAAGGACTTTGATTCCAAAAATCTCAGAAAAGTGTGCAAAATCAAGGCCTCCCCGGCAGTTTTAGCCGCCCACTCGATTGAGTGCCAGCCGCGTCTCAATGACNTATAACATTGACCTTCAATGGCTTCCACACGCCGATCCGCTGCCTCACAGTTCAGATTTAGATAAGCCGAACGCTTCGATGCTGCTTGGTTTGAACGACTTGTCAACATTCCGTCACGAACAAATAAATTTGTCACGAGGACAGTCGTTATGGCTTATATACCGTCCAGATCCTTTAGGGTGAGAGACAAGTCTGCATTATGAAAGAGACATTAGCCAGGTTGAATTCTTGCTGTTGATAGTTTTGTAGCTCCGCGGGTAAAACATACGCTGTACAAAAGCGTGGATGTTGTCCGTGTGGGTTCATGATTTACTGTTTCCGGTGATCTGAACATGAAATGGTAATGGCGCCCTAATAGTTTATTGTATTCTTTCGGGAGCGTACGAACAGGACTTTTATATCACCGACCCCACTGGAAAAGCAAGACCATTGTATACCGTTCACCACAGATTTCGGATCCCTGCAGTCGACCTTACCTTGAGTGTCGTCTGTCTGACGCTGAATCAACATCACCAACGGGGCGAGTTAGTGTCGAAGCCATTCATTTCAGACGAGACCGATTGTTTATGCCGTGTGTTGATCACCGATGGTTGCACCAATTGCTGTCACTCTGACTAGCATACGACCATCTATTATCCCTTCTGGGCGCAGATATGGTGCTAAATCAATCAAATTATGACTAGTCACTGATGGAAGAGCAGGATAGTATGCTGTCGTTCGTTTTGGTCAATCTGCCTTGACTATGATCACATACCACTTTCGGATATGATGATATCCAGACGACTTTCAAGATGTCTAAGACGCTTCAGACTATTTGGCAGCCGTGGTCACCAGAAATTAGTTGTTTCGCAGTGGTACTATAAGNTATAAGACTATCAAGGTCTTCTTTTCCATTCTACCTTTTGTGAATGGTTTAGAAACAATCCATCCGTCGACAAACGGATTCTTTTGTCATTTCGACTCAATCAACCGCAAGGTACACGGCAGTGACCTCTGGTAGAAGAGTTGTCCTGTAAATTTTATTTCTGTTGCGGCCCCCTTATGTGAATAGATGAAGCTAAGTTCAAAAATTCACATGAGTTCACCGCTGTTAACGGGAAGTTTGAGTGATTCTCATTTCTTTCTTCAGCAGCTTTGTAACAAATAACTTTGGAAACCACCTTGTCCTCCATTGAGGAAGGCAGCATTAATGTGCTGCCAGGAGTGGAAAACCACACAGGTTGCACGTTTTTCTTGTCTGTGTTTTGGTGTAGCTGTTTCGGCACACATCTTGCATTATCAAACCTTTTTCTATTACACACTTTCGTGTGATGAACAGCAGACGGGGTAAACCCCATAGACAAGAAGACCTGCTGTCCAGTGATGGAAACCGGTAACCTAAGTCGCGGGACTTGGAGTGGTGAATCACATGAGGCCCTGATAGTATAGGCGTGGTATTGAACCGGACGACAGCAAAGCTGCCTACAACCAAAGTTGGGTGGCGGTGGTGGGGCTCGAACCTCGGACCATGGGATTTAAAGCACGCCCGTGACAGCGACTAAACCACTGCGCCACTAGCACGGGATTAGGTGAGTCTGACTCTCAACATCACTTTTACAGAGGCAACGTAAAAAGCAGATCGTTTTTGCCATTGTAACTCACATGGTCAATGAACATGCGCATGCGGAAGGCTCGGTAGGTATAAACGAACTTCAAACGCTTTTAGCGATGCTGCAATATTAATTTGTTCCCGAAGGAATGAATTTATGCTGCAGCTTCCCGACTGGTTTCCCTGCATAGTGTAGGGATAGTCATGCTAGTTCAGGATGAAGACAGCCATACAAGATCCATCGGTGAGAGATATTTTTCCAGATAATGGAAGTGGATCAAAAGCAGACAAACTAAAACCCGTTTGATATTTACCAGTCTAAGACTCCTGTGACATCAGATTCTATGTGAAGGTCAAAGACTACAGTGTCGCAGTTTGATCAATACCAATCTATAGCTGCGAAAATTGGTGAGTTCCAGAGGAATAATAACGTTTGGTCATGTACAGAAAAAACGAGCGCATTTAGAGGCAGATCTATGCCAGTAATGAAGCGGTGCCTTTCGGAGCTGACTATTGTTCACTCGAGGGTACCGACTCTCGTCGCGGATTACGGCGGATAGAGCCATGTTCTACACATGAACTCAGTTTTTGACCCCATTGTGCTCTATTGGAACTTATTGGGAGTGGAGGCGACCTGGGAAACAACCGATGATGTGAAAGGAACAAGAATATGTAATGAAAATGTAATTGAGATAGAAGGTATGTGTTAAGTGGGCGAATATATAAACCATCTTTTGATATACATTTGTGAACTAGGTACACCTTGAGTTGTTCGATTCTACTTCATTATGTAAGCATTAAATGAATGAATGTTCTGCAGGTATTTGTGGCAAGGATGGCTATCACATTTAGAACGGAATTCGTAACTGACCTGCACCAGGACGCGTCGACAAAGACCAGCTTTGACCAGTGATTTTGCAACCCAGCGTGCGGCATACGCTGCAGACCGATCAACTTTTGAATAATCTTTGCCAGAAAACGCACCGCCTCCGTGAGCACCCCATCCACCATAGGTATCTACGATGATCTTCCGACCTGCAATAATGAAACCAGGTAGGCACGTTCGCTAAAACTTTGCATGCCAGATGGAAATTGAAGTAATCCATACAAAAAACATCAAAAGAACACTGCGAAAGTCGGTCTTTTGCATAACTGCATTCGATCGGTTCTCAGACTGTTGCGAAGACCTCTAATCCAGAACTGGTAACACATGAATGACGAGAGCGAACACATTCTGAAGTGCGTGGCTGACTTGGAACATGGCTGATTTCTCTGCATAAACCATGAAAACAGCAACACAATCACGAGTATTATAGCTCAAACCCCAAAGCGTGCCAGTTAGATGAATAATGAAGCATGGAATGGACAAAACGAAAACCTTTCCAAGTACAACGCTATTTTTGGAACCATGAGGCCAGAGGTCATTTCGAATTACTACTGGTACTGATGTCAAGTTTTAGCTATTTTAGCTATGATCTTGAGATTCATCCAGGAAAATAACCGCACTCGTTTGTTTATAACATCCCTGACAATGCAACTTTAGTATAAATGTCAAGAAAAACATGTTTCATTTTGATTCTTCTCTATATCAAGAGTGGCATGCAAATCCATGAAATGGTATTACATAGTACTTGTCAACTGACTAGTGAAACTTTGTACTGGGTACCTCTCATTGGAATGAGGAAAATTCCGGTCGATCGAGGCCTGACTACGCGAGAAAGTTACCTTCGTAGTTTTAACTGCTCTCTCTTCAGCTCAGTAGCAGATACCGAGATTCATTTTTCGAGCACTTAGAGGTAATTCAAAAGAGACTCGCTGATTTGTAATCACCAAACTGATAGTATAAACTCTAGGTATATGTCAGTTTTGAACTTCGATGGAGCAGGTTTGGTGCGTTTTGATCGATACCGTTGCGGAATGACGCCTTTGCAACGAAGTTGGGAATGCAAATGCTGACCGAACTCTGGGGAACCGGGATTAATGTGTGATCCGTATACCAAACCCCTTTTGCTGAGCCAAGTTTCAACGTGCTAGGGGACCGCACTAAGCAATACGTTACACTCAACAGTAACTCTTGCTACAAATAAAGGACGATCGGCTTCGATCTATGGTCATTCATCTCAGTTGGTCGGTCTAAACTCCGCTCAACTGAGTCGCAACAGGGCAAACAAATTTCCAATAGCTCTCAAATTTTCTTCGTGATGCGGTTTATAAAAATATTTCAGACCGGAGAGATACAAAGTGCAATCCACATGCCATGAACCTGGTTCTTACCAGTCAATCCAGCATCACCATGAGGGCCACCGACAACAAATCGTCCAGCGGGATTTAAGTGATAGACGGTCCGTTCGTCGAGGAGATTTTCAGGTATCACAGCACGAATCACGTATTCCATCAGGTCAAAACGAACTTTTTCTAATGTGACGCGTGTGTCATGCTGAGCTGAGATGACGATGGTATGAACTCGCAGAGGTCGACAAGCCCCACCATCTTTTTTATATTCCACAGTGACCTAAAATAAATATTGTTGAGAGTTAAATCTGAACAGCAATCGAACGTTCCACTGTTGCCATTTCGTTCTCGCATTCTCGTGGTTGATATAAAGGATTTGATAAACAAAATACTGATTAAGAGGGACGGTATTCAAACGGAACTGAAACTTAGTCAATCAGTTATCGGCTGAATAGAACTGCTTAAGACCACAGTCAATCAAGTGCAATGTTTTTAAATGCATCACATCACATCATCACATTATAAGGAACCATGACTAACTTTAACTGACTTATCGACGGACGATTGGAGGGGATATAACTAAGTGGATGACGCAAACACGATGCCTGTTTACCAACAGTTTTTAACTACGCAGCTGGATGTGGCACCGCCGCGACACCTGACTGCCTGCGAAGGGTCGAGTGTATGCGGCAGTTAGATCAGTTCTGTTTAACAGCGCAGGAGGTTGGCCGTTAGGAAAACAGGCTTAAGATAGACTGTGTTTGAACACCGCTATCTACCTAGCGGTAACTAAACAAGCAATGAGGTTAGGTGCAGTTTTAGATAACCACGAGCACCCGATGCAGCAAGTGGTCTACCTTTATAGATTACGTTGATTAGAGCGTGTTACTCATGCCATCAAATAGATTGTCACGGCACGTGACGCTTGCCGAAGCACGTAGTGGGTGGAAAAACCCAAGGGTGATCAAGCTAAGACCTGGCACGGGAGTGTGAAAACCCTAACCAGGAGTTGCGTTGCGCTCGCTGAATGGAAGCCTCGGGATCACCGTAACCAATGGATAAACTGAATAATACGGCCGTCGTTAACAGAGGCGTTCGTGCGTCTTCTCCATTTCTTAACAGCCTTAGTCCACCGGAATTCTTCACTTTCTATTCGACTTTACTTTCAAAATTTCTTGCTTTTCTCTTGCTATATCATCGCAATGGGAAGCCAAAACACAGAAACTAAAGCCGGTGCAGAGAAGTGCATGGCTGTTGGTTGCAAAATCCGCAACCCAAACACATTACTTTTAGGGGGAAACCGCAGTTTCAATCATTCATGAAATGAAGCACATAAAGAGAAACTAACATAAGTATGGTATTGAGCGCAACGATAGAGAAGCTGTCAAAGTCACGTCGCCGAGGATTTTATGTGAATCTCGAGTATCAACCTAACTTAACCCAATGGGCACTGATCTTACCGTTTTGAATAAGTGAGTTCATGGAATGGTCTTTCTCAGCTTCCTCTACGAAAACCTTAGAACCTGCGCCCGATTATGGTGGCTTCAAAGACTAACCTCAGCCAGACCGATCTCATGGTCGATCATTTCGTTTTCGCACTGCAATGGCGGGTAATTTAAAGTGTGATCTTCCGTTTTCAAGATCAGCGTTCATACCATTTCTTTGGAACACGTTACTTCCTGTAAAATTCAGCCTTGAAATGCCGACCACCATTATCGTTTTGGTCGCGCGGCCGACAATTGAAGATTCCAGTGCTCAGCATAGAAAGTTCGCCACACAATTTTCAAGGAGAAAAGCTAACGAGAAGAGCAAGGGACACCAAAGCACATTTATGATCGAATAGTGAAGATAACCCAAGCAGTTCGACTTGATAAGGGGAAAGTGCCACTCTACTTGGCATGCAGTGTTACAGCTACGCATTAGATTTTACTGCTGGAAAACTAACAAAAAAGCCACCGCGAATTGCAGCGCAAAACGCCAGCACCTTTAAATTATTCAATTTACCTGTGTTTTGCTGTCGGGACCAGCCCATGGAAGTGTTCCATCTCGCCGAAGAGTAGCAAGACGTTTATTCAAGGCGTGCGACAGAACAACAGTTAAAGGCATACATTCTTCCGTTTCGTCGGTCGCATATCCAAACATCAAGCCCTGAACGGAAAACAATGAAGCGATTTGATTATATCAAACAGGGGATAAGTTGTATATATATATATATATATATATATATATACATATTACATGCGAGGAATTTGTTAGGACTAACTTTCATGGGCCCTGAGCCTTATACAAATACCTCATAAGAAGAAAAGTGCGCTAAGCAAGCAGTTCACGGTAGCATCTCGCAAAATCGATTTTTAAATATCCCACACCCATCTAACTGCCCAAAACGCGACATCACCCTTATTTTGAGTTGAATAATGATAATAATAATGTCGATGTAAAAGCAGATAGTGGGAAGCAGCATTCGATTGAACATCCCTTACAATAAAACAAAAGATGGATCTCCGAAGAAGTACTTCAGTTATTCAGAAAGACAAGAGATACGAGTCCCCAAGTTCCTTGAATGCCGCATACTTCGACGCAAAGCAAATCGTTCAGTCAGGAAGGGCGGTATATGTCAAATTTTGGCCGCCGCAAAGGTTAGATACGTCAGAAAGCTTTTGGGCTTCATCCACGTTACCTCGGAAAGCCTCCGTATGGTCGGGGATAGGTGTCTCGCGTAGTGATTAGTCATTCCTCCCTTGCACTTCGTAAAATGCTCCCCATAGAGCTAAGCGACTAGAGCAGCCCCTGATGAAGCTTTAATCACTGTTCTCCCGTGGTGATTTCCAAGTAAAAGGTCGAAAAGCCAACATCCGAGGCTATAACCGGGTCGGTGAGCCACGGGAAGTTACTCTATGCGAGCTGGCCAAAAATCCTGATTTCAAATCAACCAGGAAAAGCAGTACACACCATAGTCGCTTAGATCCTTACGGTTGTGGCTGTGGTCGCCAGTTTGATTGGATATCGAGGTGCACTGGGCACCTGGGAGATTGGACCTCCTCCGACGAACGATAACGGTCCTCGATGGATCGCGATTTTCACATAGTATACACCACCGCGCGGGTGAAACTGGCTAGTCAAAGGTTCCCGTTGTGAAATCTCCAAGAGCATTCACCTCTGACCTGAGCAACCTAGCAGTATCGTCCCAGATGCATAAAATATACGAAATACCTCATTCACGCTACTTTTGAGAATTCTCCAATAACTTTCTGAAACCCAAAAATTCACCTAATACAAGTAGATAGAGAGTAAACAATTCGACCACCAAATGAATTGCACTAGACAACCCGACCACCTAGTCATAGCAAAAACCCGCTAACCTTACACAATCAGGTGCGATTCACCGGGTAGGTAGGATATCATCTCGGTAGTTAATGAGCTGAAATGTAGGAATGCCCCAGGGGATATATATTACATCGGACATCCTCAACCATCATATCAGTCTTGTGGACCCGGTCGCATTCGCTACTTGATGGAATCTGGAAAATGGAGACCTGCCCCAAAAGATTGAGCAAGCCCAGTTCTGATTCTCGTCCGAATGCGCGCGAGAACTACTCAGGGATCAGATCGATCTGTATAGCGGTTTCCCTCGTGATGCCACCTAATCGCTTCTAGAAAGGACGCGGGAACCCGTGAACAGCAAAGCGGCGGGGGTGTTGATATTTACCCTCCGTTTGATCTTGAAACATATCTGAGTCTTACCAGTTACCAACGGCCTGATTCATCGACTTCTGCCCAAAATTCCCTGAGGGATATGAAAGGAGTTGGCATGGCTGAGATTATACTGAGACATCGGGACTCAAATCCGCGTGTACTGCTCCTCTCGAAATCAGAAGTTCAACAAGGCGGTTGATTATCTACGATGCTGATCAATTACGTTATTGGTTGGACGATGAATCGTGCTCCTTTTGGCCAATGAGGTGTCCAACTCGCACTGGATCACTGACTTCGAGCTTGCTAATGACATTGTTGTCCTCAGAAACACCAGACAACCTACAGCCGATACTCGATCCGTCTTGCCAAACGTCTAGAAAGGAACACGTTCAAGACGAAGCTAATTTTGACCGCTGCATATTCGACCAGAGTCAACGGTGAGTCGATAGAGCGCCTGACGGCCAGGACAAAGGCAAGATCCAGTCACGCATCAATTTTAGAAGGGAAAACTTTCTACAACACTCCCGAACGTCAGATAGACAAAAATCAGCCTTCGCACTAATGCGGTGTCCAGGTATCATCTGTACTAACTACGAATGCGAGACACGAACGGTACGAACTCCTAACCTCCTCAACACACGTTAGGCCGCATCATCCTCATGAACGTTAGTCGCACGAACTGCATTCTCTGCGGAATTCATTACTTCCAATGTTGAATTGAAGGGCGGGAACCACATAAAAAACGCTCAAAGTCCGAATAATAGAATATATTCTGCTTAGACGCCAAATGCTTCTGCCGCTAGATTTACACTGCGGATAATCTTTGTAGATAAACCGCAAAGATTAGCGACAACTCCAAACGCAACTAAAAGCAATCCAGTTCGTCGGCACCTTAGCGAACATGCAATAGTGACGGCTCCAATGATGGGCAACGCTCCATCGTAGGGATATAATTATTTACAGCGGCACTCGCAACGACTGTTTCAGCGAGCAAATACCAAGTGAGTTTTCCCAGGTGTATCCCAACGAAGTCAGTTAAGTGTTTCGTGTATTTTGGAAGGACAAAACGAAATCGCTACATTACCGTTCTGACAAGAAAAATGAACCAGTTACAGCTTTCAAAACCATTAGACCTTAAGTGGTTCCTGTTTGGATGTCAGAATAGAGAAATTGGAATGCTGAAGGCACTGTTGAAGTGAAATTGAAGACGGCAGATTAGGGTTGCGTTAGCACCACAGTGGGATACCACATATATATTACACCGGCTTGTGAACAAGCATGTTGCTAACGCCGCAATAATAATAACAATAATAGGGGATAGGTGGACCGGGGTACAGAGTAAAGTGGAAAGAGGGTGAAATAGTTAAATACGGGGAAATAGATAACTGGGACAAGAAACTTTTTTGTGCGTTTCACCGTACAGTTTGATACTAACAATACAAACAGGTTGGAAACCTTAGACAATCATAAACGAATCAAAGCAACGCAATTGATGGCTCAGATTAAATTTGTACTTTGACGAGAGTTGGCCTGCGTGCATGCATCGGAAAATATACAGTGAAATTAAGCAGCATAGGCTGATGCATTTGTAATAGCTGCAGACTGATAGGTAACATCCTCAGGAGTGGTGGTTCATCTGTTTTATGTAAATGCGTATATACATAGTGGCGGATGAGTTGCTTGTCGCACTTATTCCGGCAAGGATTTCACCGGAACCACTATTCGAATGAGATGATGTGAGTAACTCTGACGCTGCGAATTCATGCTATACGTTTCCTTGTTAAGCCAATGTTTTCAGGTAACATCTAGTGTAGAGCACGAGAAATCATTCATGCCTCTGTGAATATAACTTACCTGGACGAAACAGTAACTGTTACGACCTGGTGAATAATACGAAACTTCAGTGGATGAACATAGCATCGGACGCCTGGAGCTGTTAGATTGTAGTGTTGACTAAATGCCACCACTACGATTGGAAAGTTCCACATGATCTGAAGTCTTGGAGTTATCTCATCAAGTGTCAACCAGCTGAGAAAGTAGAAGGGCGCCGAGGTTTGAATCAGAAGCAAGTCGATCAGGTTGAGACTGAGCTAGGTTGTTCAGGAGAACCTAGTAGTAGAATTCAAGGGAGCTGGGACATCCATTATAGGGCAGATTCTACACATTACCTAACAGTCGATACTGTCAACAGATAGTGCGGGTATATACTAGATTAAGAGCTTTATTACTCAAGACATTGGAAAATAGGATCTTCACGCTGCATCAACTATTAGAGACACGACACACCGTTGACCAAGTTGTTGTTCCTCCAGCTAAAAGAAGTTTTCGACTTAGTTGGTCGCAAAAGCCTTATGGTTTTGCTTCTTCGCGGATATACGTGAACATACTAAGATCACCGAACTCGCATACTTCTGGTTGCCTAAGGGTCTACGGTGAGCTAAGTCGTTCGTCACCCACAGCGGCATTCATCAAGAGTGCCCTATTTCGCCATTCCAGTTTAATTTCTTAATAGACGAAATACTGGAGGACGCAATTAGTGGTCTCGAAAATGTTGGTATTGAGCGAGCAGCCGGACAAAATGCGATTTGGAGTACGATGATATCGTTTGTTTGAATTTGTAGCGGATGCACAACGCGCACTTAACAGACTAGCAATCTCTGCTGCTCCATTCGGCATATGCTTGCCGTATCAAAGTGCAAATTGATGCTGCAAGACTGGGTGCCACCGAGTCCCGTTCTGAAACTGTCAGGAATTGGCTGAAATTCACTGCTTCTCGTACCTGGGTAGCCGTGCAACCAACGACGGTAGCGCATCAAAGGAGATAACCGCCTGCACCTCCTGTAGTAACGAAATGACGTTTCGCTAAAGTTGATAAGTAACATACATTGAGCCACTGTGCGACTGAGACCTTGAATTTGCGGGCAGAAAATATCCATCGCCTAGTGGTTCCCGGCAACTAACGCTTACGTAGTTTCGCCCATTTACGGTGGAATAAGCGGGTTAGTAACCTAGAAGCAAGTAGTCGGATGTTCCTGAAAGCATCGAACACGAGATCGCCATCACGTTGAAATCAGCTCAATAGGCTTTATGATTTAGGACACGTTTTGCGCCTAACGGTCGCACACCGCACC